TAAATCCCACATTGACTTAAAGTGTACAGAACTGAAAATTGTCTAAGGCCAGGCGTGGTGGCTCACATCTGTAATCCCAGCACTTTGGGAGGCCAAGGTGGGTGGATCACTTGAGGTCAGGAGTTCAAGACTAGCCTGGCCAGCATGGTGAAATCCCGTATCTACTAAAAAATAAATAACTAAGTAAATAAATAAAATTAGCTGGGCGTGATGGCACATGCCTGCAGTCCCAACTACCTGGGAGGCTGAGGCAGGAGAATGGCTCGAACCTAGAAGGTGGAGGTTGCAGTGAGCCAAGATGGTGTCATTGCACTCCAGCCTGGCAACAGAGCAAGACTTGTCTCAAAAAAAGAAAAGAAAATTGTCTGGAAATTATAATATACATGTAAAACCAAAAAACACAATAAACTCATGTTAAGAAACCTACACTAAAAAAACGCACTAATATGAAACTGGAAAACAGTAATAAGAAAAATGTTTACTGATAATATCTAGTTTGCAAGGCCAGGCATGCCTGTAATCCCAGCACTATGGAAGGCCGAGGCAGGTGAACTACCGGAGGTCAGGACTTTGAGACCAACTTGGCCAATATGATGAAACCCTGTCTCAACTAAAAATACAAAAATTAGCTGAGAATGGTGGCATGCACCTATAATCCCAGCTACTCAGGAGGCTGTGACAGGAGAATTGCTTGAACCCAGGAGTTGGAGGTTGCAGTGAGCACTCCAGCCTGGGCAAAGAGAGCAAAATTCTATCTCAAAAAAAAAAAAAAAAAATCTGGTATTTTATTTTTGTTTATTTTATTTTATTTTTTTTTTGAGACGGAGTTTCGCTTTTGTTACCCAGGCTGGAGTGCAATGGCGCAATCTTGGCTCACCGCAACCTCCGCCTCCTGGGTTCAGGCAATTCTTCTGCCTCAGCCTCCTGAGTAGCTGGGATTACAGGCACGTGCCACCATGCCCAGCTAATTTTTTGTACTTCTAGTAGAGACGGGGTTTCACCATGTTGACCAGGATGGTCTCGATCTCTTGACCTCGTGATCCACCCGCCTCGGCCTCCCAAAGTGTTGGGATTACAGGCGTGAGCCACCACGCCTGGCCTGGTATTTTATTTTTAATGGTGCATATAGATGTACCATTAAATAAGAATTTGCCTAGATAACTACAGTATTTGACTGTAACTGTGTACTTTTGAATCACTGGCATGAACTATACAGAAGTAAAGTTTTAGAGAAAATGCAGTATAATCATAAATACGAGACTATTGAGAAACTTTTAATAAGTATTTAAAATAAACTACAGATAACATTCATATTTTAAATATATGCTATACTTACAAAAATAAAACTGCCGTAATCCAATTTTAGAAACAAAGAATAGCCTTACCTTGCTAAATTATGTATTGTAATATATATACATATATGTTAAAGAATATGATTAGAGCCTCTGATATATAAAACAAGTATTTGGGAATAAATTATATTATTTAGATATAGGATATAATACTTTTTTACCTACAGCAAACTTAAACTTTTTTTTTAAGATGGGGTTTCACCATGTTGGCCAGGTTGGTCTTGAACTTTTGACCTCAAGTGATCCACCTGCCTCGGCCTCCCAAAGTGCTGGGATTACAGGCGTTGAGCCACTGCACCAGGCCCAGCAAACTTAAATTTATAAGTAACTATATTAGTAAAAATGGAATGGCTGTTATCTAATTTACTTCAGACATAACATGCAAATTCTCATTTAATTGTCCTAAATGTCTGATTCCAAAATTATAGACACATTTGAAATAAAAAACAAACTGAGCCAGGCACAGTGGCTCATGCCTGTAATCCCAGCACTGTGAGAGGCTGAGGTGGGTAAATAATCTGAGGTCAGAAGTTTTAGACCAACCTGACTAATGTGGTAAAAATTCCCATATCTACTTAAAATATATAAAAACTAGCCAGGTTTGATGGTGGACAACTGTAACCTCAGCTACCTGGGAGGCCGAGGCAGGAGAATCAGTTGAACCTGAGAAGTGGAGGTTGCAATGAGCTGAGATTGTGCCATTGCACTCCAGCCTGGCCGACAGAGCAAGACTGACTTAAAAAAAAAAAAAGAAAAAAGAAAAAAAATAGAAAAAGAAACTAAAAACTAAAAGTGTGTAAGAAGAGTGACATCAGTAGAATGGAAAAATAAAAGGTGCCCAGGTGCCCTACTAGCTTACCCCCATAGAGCAGGAAAATTTGTCAGCCATCCCAGACAAAAATGCCTTTATGAGAGCCAGATATCATGGCTCACACCTGTAGTAACAACTACATAGTACATTGAGGTTGGAGAACTGCTTCAGGCTAGGATTTTAAGATCAGGCTGGGTTACGCAGCAAGATCCCATCTCAAAAATAAGTGCCTTCGAAAGCTTTGAGATCCCGGGAGGTAGTTGTAAAACTCTCATAAAGCCCAAGATTAAGGAGTTTGTTTTTTTTTTAGAATGCAGGCTCTCATTCAGGTGGCAAACTACGGGACCTCTGTTCTTTTTTTTTTTTTTTTCCATAGTTAAGATGAAAATTTATTGACATTCTGAAAATAAGGATTGTGAAAAACTAATGTTGCTTCTAATTTATCCTAGGAGTTACTTCCCAAAAATGTTAATCACAGTTGGATTGAAAGGGTCTTTGGGAAATGTGGCAATGTGGTTTATATAAGTATACCACATTATAAGTCTACTGGAGATCCAAAAGGATTTGCGTTTGTAGAATTTGAAACAAAAGAACAAGCAGCAAAAGCAATTGAAGTAGGTCCAGATCCTGAAGTCAGAACAGGGAAGAGGAAGAGAAGTAGCTCTGAAGATGCAGAATCCCTAGCACCACGATCAAAAATAAAGAAAATTATTCAGAAAGACATGGTTAAGGAAGCTTCAGAAGTTTCCAAAGAAAATAGAGGTAAATCTCCAAGGTTTTAATTAGATAAATTAAGCTTCTATTCACCCACTTCACAGCTCGATGTCTTAACTGACTTTTTAAATTTCAAGATATAGAAATCTCTACTGAAGAGGAAAAGGATACTGGAGATCTAAAGGATAGCTCTCTCTTAAAAACAAAAAGAAAACACAAGAAAAAACATAAAGAGAGACATAAAATGGGAGAAGAAGTTATACCATTAAGAGTACTATCAAAGTAAGTCTGTGGTTTAAATTCTGCTGTCGTTGGCTTAACAATCCACCCCTGTTCTTAACTACAAACCAGAAAATGGCCCACCCAACTTGAAAATTCTGAACTTACTCTGTAACCATCCCAAACTGCTTCCAGCCACTGTCTGTGAGAGATCCTGTTTTTCAAAAGGCCTGGAGGAAGACACCGGTTTATAGCCAGGCAGGCCTTTACTATGGACCCTGAAGCAGTTAAGTGACTGTTCCAGCTTCCTGAGCCATGGTTTACAGCCAGTTCTGCCTCCTAGAAACCCACACAGTTACCTGGGGAAATCTTCTCTAGGACTCAGTGAAAGCCATACTCATCCACATCCTGATACAAAGCCCACCATATGCAGACCTAACTACAAAAACCCACCCTAGTGCCTGCCCTATAGAGCAAAGTCCTGAAGGATATTCATTCTGCCCAAAAATAAAATGGAAATTACAACTAACCAAGTCCCTTGCAACAAGCCAACTAAAAAGGTGGCCATAGTGCAGACCCAGCAGCCTTGTGATCAAGCTATGACCCCTTTTCACTACAGGCCAGGAGCAGTGGCTCATGCCTGTAATCCCAGCACTTTGGGAGGCTGAGGCGGACAGATCACTTGAGGTTAGAAGTTTAAGACCAAGATGTCAAAACCCTGTCTTTACTAAAAATTCAAAAATTAGCCAGGCATGGTAATACATGCCTATAATCCCAGCTACTCAGGAGGCTGAAGGAGGAGAATCGCTTGAACTCGGGAGGTGGAGGTTGCAGTGAGATGAGGCCGTGCCACTGCACTCCAGCCTGGGTGACACAGCAAGACTCTGTCTTTAAAAAAAAGAAAAAAGCCGGGCGCGCTGGCTCAAGCCTGTAATCCCAGCACTTGGGGAGGCTGAGGCGGGTGGATCACGAGGTCAAGAGATCGAGACCATCCTGGTCAACATGGTGAAACCCGTCTCTACTAAAAATACAAAAAATTAGCTGGGCATGGTAGCTCATGCCTGTAATCCTAGCTACTCAGGAGGCTGAGGCGGGAGAATTGCCTGAACCCAGGAGGCAGAGGTTGCGGTGAGCTGAGATAGCGCCATTGCACTCCAGCCTGGATAACAAGAGCAAAACCCCGTCTCAAAAAAAAAAAAAAAAAAAAAAAGCCATGTTATCCAAACTGAGCTATAAATTTTATAAACTTTCTATCAAAGTTCCTGTGGCATTTTTTTCACAGTAATGGAAATTGTAATTCTAAGATATACATGAAACCAGAATAAACTTTGAACATAGCAATCTTGAGGAAAAAGAACAAAGCAGAGAAACATAATTAATAATTTGAAATTATGTAAAGATTATAGTAATAAAAACAGGATGAACTGTGCAGAAAATACACACAAAAATCCAACGGAACAGAAAGTACTACTCTCACATTTCAGATGTGATGCAAAAAAAGAACTTAAAATAGTTTCTCAAAAGTATGCAAACATCAGCCGGGCGCGGTGGCTCAATCCTGTAATCCCAGCACTTTGGGAGGCCGAGGCGGGTGGATCACGAGGTCAAGAGATCAAGACCATCCTGGTCAACATGGTGAAACCCCGTCTCTACTAAAAATACAAAAAATCAGCTGGGCATGGTGGCATATGCCTATAATCCCAACTACTCAGGAGGCTGAGGCAGGAGAATTGCCTGAACCCAGGAGGCGGAGGTTGCGGTGAGCCGAGATCGCGCCATTGCACTCCAGCCTGGGTAACAAGAGCGAAACTCCGTCTCAAAAAAAAAAAAAAAAAAAAAAAAAAGTATGCAGACATTTGTGTGTCCCCAAAAATAATGAAAATGCAGTCAAATTGTGCAGTCTCTTAAATGTCATGAAGAGGACTTTGGCTCTCACTTGAAGGAAACTTGAAGGAAGATCACCAAAGGGAAATTAGAATCCTGAGACAATTTAAAAGCATCGGACAAAAGATGCCCCTATGTGAAAGCAAAATGAAAAAACTCAGGCTTCCCAGAAACTGTTTCCTTTGGAACACAGCTTCTCAAGTCATATTTTAAGGACTGGCTTTCTTAACCTTTGCACTTCTCATCTGTGTTGTCTGCTGTATAGACTTTCACTCTCACCTACCTGAGGATTTGGCAACCATCTCATGTCTCTTCATATTCCAAGGTTCTTTTTCTTGCTCCAGACAGATGATCAGGTCTGGCTTAGAAACAGTGATACCTGTTTTAATAAAAAATAAATTACATGAATCTTGTTCATATTCTCCAATTATTAATCTAGTAATGTGTCCAGTATGAAGGGTGTGATAGAATATCCTAATAATTAATCCCAAAATACTAATTTTTATTTTTCGAGATGGAGTCTCAGTCTGTCACCAAGGCTGGAGTCCAGAGGTGTGATCTCGGCTCAATGCAATCTCTGCCTCCTGGGTTCAAGCTATTCTAATGCCTCTGCCTCCCAAGTAGCTGGGATTACAGGCATATGCCACTATGCCTGGTTAATTTTTGCATTTTTAGTAGAGACAGGGTTTTAGTAGAGGCAGGGATTACAAGCACCTGCTAGCACACTAGGCTACTTTTTTTTTTGTACATATATACATATTTTTTTTTATAAAGGTGGGATTTCACCATGATAGCCAGGCTGGTCTTGAACTCCTGACCTCAGGTGATCCACCCACCTCGGCCTCCCAAAGTGCTAGGATTAAAGGCGTGAGCCACAGCGCCTGGCCATTTGTATTTTCATTAGAGACGAGGTTTCACCATGTTGGTCAGGCTGGTCTTGAACTCTTAACCTTAGGGTGATCTGCCTGCCTTGGCTTTCCAAAGCGCTGGGATTATAGGCATGAGCCACCATACCTGGACCCAGAATACTAATTTTTCTTTCTTGCTTTCATTCTTTCTTTTTTTTTTTGAGACGGAGTTTCGCTCTTATTACCCAGGCTGGAGTGCAATGGCACAATCTCGGCTCACCGCAACCTCTGCCTCCTGGGTTCAGGAAATTCTCCTGCCTCAGCCTCCTAAGTAGCTGAGACTACAGGCACGCATTGCCATGCCCAGCTAATTTTTTGTATTTTTAGTAGAGACGGGGTTTCACCACGTTGACCAGGATGGTCTCGATCTCTTGACCTCGTGATCCACCTGCCTTGGCCTCCCAAAGTGCTGGGATTACAGGCTTGAGCCACCGCGCCTGGCTTGCTTTCATTCTTTCTTTTTTTTTAAGACGGAGTCTTGCTCTGTTGCCCAGGCTAGAGTGCAATGGTGTGATCTCGGATCACTGCAACCTCTATCTCCCGAGTTGAAGCGATTCTTCTGCCTCAGCCTCCCGAGTACCTGGGATTACAGGTGCCTGCCACCACACCCCCAGCTAACTTTTGTATTTTTAGTAGAGACAGGTTTCACTATCTTGGCCAGGCTGGTCTCAAACTCCTGACTTCATGATCCACCCACCTTGGCCTCCCAAAGTGCTGGGATTACAGCTGTGTTCCACCATGCCCAGCCTAATTTTTTAAAAAAATTTATTTTATTATGATTTTTAGATAGAGTCTTGCTGTTGCCCAGGATACAGTGCACATGTGCAATCACAGATCACTGCAACCTCTGCCTCCCAGGTTCGAGCCATTCTCCTGCCTCAGCTTCCTGAGTAGCTGGAATTACAGGTGTGCACCATCATGCCTATCTAATTTTTATATTTTTAGTAGAGATGGGGTTTCACCATCCTGGCCAGGCTGGTCTCAAACTCCTGGCCTTGTGATCCACCTGCCTTGGCCTCCCAAAATGCTGGGATTACAGGTGTGTTCCACCACTCCTGGCCTAATTTTTTTTTTTTTTGAGACGGAGTTTTGCTCTTGTTACCCAGGCTGGAGTGCAATGGCATGATCTCAGCTCACCGCAACCTACGCCTCCTGGGTTCAGGCAATTCTCCTGCCTCAGCCTCCCGAGTAGCTGGTACTACAGGCGTGTGCCACCATGCCCAGCTAATTTTTGTATTTTTAATAGAGACGGAGTTTCACCATGTTGACCAGAATGGTCTCGATCTCTTGACCTTGTGATCCACCCGCCTCGGCCTCCCAAAGTGCTGGGATTACAGGCATGAGCCACCGCGCCCGGCCTACCTGGCCTAATTTTTAACAAAAATTTCTTTTCTTTGAGAAGGAGTCTTGCTCTGTTGCCCAGGATGGAGTGCAGTAGTGCGATCTAGGCTGACTGCAACCTCTGCCTCCCAGATTCAAGCCATTCTCCTGCCTCAGCCTCCTAAGTAGCTGGGATTACAGGTATGCAACATCATGCCTGGCTAATTTTTATATTTTTAGTAGAGACAGGGTTTTGTCATGTTGGTCAGGCTGGTCTTGAACTCCTGATGTTAGGTGATCTGCCTGCCTCAGCCTCCCAGAGTGCTGGGATTATGAGTGAGCCACCATGCCTGGCCTTTAACAAACATTTCTAAATATTTAGAAAATATCTTATTTTGTAACTTCTTAAGTTCACTACCTGATAATACCGAATCAAAAATTAGTGTTGGCAAGTAGAATTTAAGTTGTGGGAAACAATATTTTATGACACTTTATTTCTGGAATTACCACTAATCCAGAGTGAAAGACACAGATTAGCTCAGAAATGTGAAAAGTTTAGGTCAAGATGAAACATCTTGAAAAAATTCTTTAGTCCATCAAAAAAATCTCCAAGATTTTTCTGAAAACAGGAAGTCTGAAAGTCATCAATGCAATGCACAAATTACCAAAAAACACTCTACAAAAAAAAAAAAAAAAAGAAAAGAAATCTTTAGGGTATATCAGAATTTGTATATTGAAGTTATGCTCACCCAGGAAGACCAGGTTTCTGTAGTTCTCTAACATCACATTTCTATATAAATTCTGCTGTGCAGTGTCCAGGCATTGCCACTCCTCCAGACAGAATTCTATGGCCACATCCATAAATGTCAATGGTCCCTAAAAAATACACATACACATACACACATTTACCAAGTGGCCATGGGGAGAATTTACAATTTGACTCAAGGTAAAATGAGAGAGTAAAGAGAAGAGGTTCTGACTTATAGACAAATTATCCAATAAAATAATTATTTACATGGAAATATTCTGTATATATATTTTTTTAGATGGGGTTTTGCTCTTGTTGCCCAGGCTGGAGTGCAATGGCATGATCTTGGCTCACCACAACCTCCACCTCCTGGATTCAATCGATTCTTCTGCCTCAGCTTCCCGAGTAGCTGGGATTATAGGCATGCACCACCACGCCTGGCTAATTTTGTATTTTTTAGTAGAGATGGGGTTTCTCCATGTTGGTCAGGCTGTTCTCCAACTTCTGACCTCAGGTGATCCACCTGCCTCGGCCTCCCAAAGTGTTGGGATTACAGGCTCTCTAATGTATTTTCTACTCCTGAGAAAAGAAAGTGGCATAAGTTCTACATCAGTGTACATATTGTACTTTTCCATACTATTTTTCTGGATGATAAACTATAAAATTAAGGGCATAAACAAATGTGAATTTTTGAGTTCTCTATTTGCATCATATAGAATGAGTTGCATATATTTTTCAGATAAATCCAGTAAGTGGAAAAGTCTGTGTTCTTTTCTAGTTTTTCTGACCTGTAAACAAATATAAGAGCTTTCATTTTCAAAAGAGAGATAAATGCAAATAAAACCTAAAAAGGAAGAGCAGTTGCCAGATAAAATGTGATGGTTTACATACATTAGTTGCATAAAGATTCTTAATAATACGGCCAGGTGTGGTGGCTCATGCCTGTAATCCCAGCCCTTTGGGAGGCTGAGGCAGGTGGATCACTTGAGATCAGGAATTTGAGACGAGTCTGGCCAACATGGAGAAACCCCATCTCTACTAAAAATACAAAAATTAGCCAGGCATGGTGGCACATCCCTGTAGTCCAGGAGGGACTTGGGAGGCTGAGGCAGGAGAATCATTTGATCCCAGGAGGCAGAGGTTGCAGTAAGCTAAGATCATGCCATTGCATTCCAGCCTGGGTGACAGAGACTCTATCTCAGAAAAAAAAAAAAAGTTCTTAATAATAAAAAGAAATATAACTAATCAACTAACTATATAGGGTAACAGCCTGTCAGAGAGCCCTTTAATCAAGTGAATAATTAACATAAACTGCACTAGAACAAATTTTTTTTTTTTTTTTTTTGAGACTGAGTCTTGCTCTGTTGCACAGGCTGGAGTGCAGTGGCACAATCTCAGTTCACTGCAACCTCCGCCTCCCGTGTTCAAGTGATTCTCCTGACTTGGTATCCCAAGTAGCTGGGACTACAGGAGCCCGCCACCACGTCCACCTAATTTTTTGCATTTTCAGTAGAGATGCAGTTTCGTGATTTTAGCTAGGATGATCTTAATCTCCTGACCTTGTGATCTGCCCACCTCAGACTCCCAAAGTGCTGAGACTATAGGCGTGAGCCACTGTGCCCAGCCTAGACCAAATTTTTTTAATGTCCTGATGCATGCAGAAAGACACAGCATCACTGCTGTGATAAATGTTCCCAAAAAGTAAATTATAATCTAAATGTAACCACAAGGAAATATCAGTTTTATGCAAAGTTCAAGATAAAGATATCGCTCATGTTCTGTCATTTTTTTTCTCCTTTGAGATGGAGTTTTGCTCTTGTTGCCCAGACTGGAGTGGAATGACGTGATTGTGGCTCACTGCAACCTCTGCCTCCTGGGTTCAGCAATTCTCCTGCCTCAGCCTCCCAAGTAGCTGGAACTACAGGCATGTGCCACCACACCTGGCTACTATTTTTGGATTTTTAGTAGAGATGGGGTTTCACCATGTTGGCTAGGCTGATCTCGAACTCTTGACCTCCAGTGATCCACCCACCTTGACCCCCAAAGTACTGGAATTAAAGGTGTAAACCACTGTGCCCAGCTGTAAGGTTTTTTTTTTGTTTTTTTTTTTTTTGAGACGGAGTTTTGCTCGTTACCCAGGCTGGAGTGCAATGGCGCGATCTTGGCTCACCGCAACCTCTGCCTCCTGGGTTCAAGCAATTCTCCTGCCTCAGCCTCCTGAGTAGCTAGGATTACAGGCACGTGCCACCATGCCCAGCTAATTTTTTGTATTTTTAGTAGAGACGGGGTTTCACCATGTTGACCAGGATGGTCTCGATCTCTTGACCTCGTGATCCACCCACCTCGGCCTCCCAAAGTGCTGGGATTACAGGCTTGAGCCACCGCGCCCGGCCAGCTGTAAGTTTTAATAGTAATTTTTAGCAGTCTATCTTTAGCACCCTAGATAGCAAATATATCCTGATAATGTTGTTCAGAACTTTCTGGTTTATAAATGCCTTCTTGTTTAAATAAGCATTTTCTCAATCCTGTTCTTCATTAACCAAATAAAAAACCCAGACTGAACCTCAACATGCCACGTTTTCCATTTTTAGTAAGAATTTCAGCTTCTCTTCAATAGAAATCTTGAGTATTCACACCTTCCCATGTTCAATAGCCACAAAAGGATCATTTTTAATATCGCAGTTCATAAATTTATGGTGAGTATTCTGCATGGCATATAAGCCCTGATGTAGAGAATGTAGAGAAGGCTCTGGTATACAGAAAAGAAATATTTGGCAGAGATCCTTGAGTGTCATAAAAATTTAGAAAGCAGTTAAACTCACTGGGGAGAAAAACCACAAGTAGAGAAGTAAAGGTTCGCAGTACTAAACGCATGGCACTCCAGGAAACAGAGTGGACACAGCTCTTGATCTGAGAGCCATTTTTTCTCTATTTCCTTCTTCTCTAGGAATCCTTCCCAGATGAGAATTTTCTGGACAAAGTATACTTGCATCTTGAGAATATGCCTTTTAAGCTGTCAGCACCACATGTTTACCTGCTATCACCACACCCATAGGCAGAAGGACCAAGACCAGCAGAAAAAGTTCACCTATTTTTGTCCTTTATAACAGAAGAGATTCAGTAAGAATGAACTGTTCCATGCAGATACAGAATAGGCCCTGTAACCACCCTTTAGCGCAAAGGTCAAACTTAACTCTTATGAATGTATCCTGAACCCTTTATACTTGATTCTAGCCTCATTTTAGAGTCACAGGAGGCACTTAATTAAAACAACATGGGCTGGGCTTGGTGGCTCACGCCTGTAATCCCAGCACTTTGGGAGGCCGAGGTGGGTGGATCACCAGGTCGGGAGTTTGACAGCAGCCTGGCCAAGATGGTGAAATCCCGTCTCTATTAAAAATATAAAAATTAGCTGGGTGTGGTAGCAAGTGCCAATAATCCCAGCTACTCAGGAGGCTGAGGCAGGAGAATCACTTGAACCCAGGAGGTAGAGGTTCAAGTGAGCCAAGACTGTATCACTAGCCTGGGCAACAGAGCAAGACTCTGTCTAAAAAAAAAAAAAAAAAAAAAAAGGCAGGCACGGTGGCTCAGGCCTGTAATCCCAGCACTTTGGGAGGCCAAGGTGGGAAGATCATAAGGTTAGGAGATTGAAACCATCCTGGCTAACATGGTGAAACTCTGTCTCTAAAAAAAAAAATTAAATTCGGAATGCTGGGAAGATGGCCGCCTAAGAACAGCTCAGGACTTCAGCTCCCAGTGAAAGTGCAGAGGGTGAGTGGACGCCGCATTTCCAGACGAACTCTTATTGCCCACAGACCAGGAGATACCCAGGCAGAGGGGTCGCCAGCGTCGCAGTCCCAGCCGGTGCGGCTGTTTTGGCCCCCGCGGGGCTGCTGTGACCACTCCCTGTTGCTGCCGTTCTCCGTACCAAAGCCAATGGTCTGGGAGCCCTCTTAGCTGGCGAGCAGAGCCCTGAGACGGCAGAATAGCCCATTCATCTGAAATAGCGAGTCAGGCCAGGAGATTCCTAGGCAAAAAATCCGCGAGGAGCCGGCGCCGCAGTTCGAGCCGACTCCGTGAGTCGCAGCACGGGAGATCCCGGCGCCTTTTCAACAAGCGACCAGAACGCGGGGTCCTTCAACTTAAAAGAAAAGACTCTGAGTCAGGGAGCCAGGTGATCAGGCTCGGTTGGTCCCACCCCTCCACCCCCAACAACAACGAAAACAAAAACAGTAATTGGAAACCCTCTGGGTTGAGCCCTTCAAACCAAGCACAGCTGAAGCGGGACGGTCCGGCTCCGTGGGGGAGGGGTTTCCGCCATTACTGAGACTCTCCACCGCTACGGAGGCAGGCTTCCGTTGCCGAGGCAACCTGCCACAACGGAGAGAGTCCACCATAACAGAGGCGGGGCCACAATTGCCGAGACAGTTCTAACTACGCCCTTATAAAAAGGACTACAGGGAACAGCTCAGGGCAGCTGGGCGGAGCCCACAGCAGCTCAGCAAAGCCCCTGCGGGCAGGCAGTGGCTAGGCCTGCTGCTAGCTGGGCGGGTCCGACCCAAAAGAAAAATCAAAAAAGGCAGTAGTGCAAGGGAAACTCATAAAGCTCCAACTCCCTGGGACAGAGACAGACAACAGGTGGATAAACCCACAAAAATGGGAAGAACTCAGCGCAAAAAGGATGAAAACTCCCGAAACCAGAACACCTCTCCTCCTAAAAGGGATCACAACTCCTCACCAGCAAGGGAACCAGACCGGATGGAGAAGGAGGGTGATGAAATGACAGAATCAGACTTCAGAAGGTGGGTAGTAAGAAACTACAATGAGCTAAAAGAACATGTTCTAACCCATCGCAAAGAAAATAGGAACCTTGAAAAAAGATTGGACGAACTGCTGACGAGAATGGACAGCATAGAGAGGAGTATAAATGAATTGATGGAGCTGAAAAACGCAACACGAGAACTGCGTGAAGCATGCACAAGCTTCAACAGCCGAATTGACCAAGCAGAAGAAAGGATATCAGAGGTCGAAGATCAACTCAATGAAATAAAAAGAGAAGGCAAGAACAGAGAAAAAAGCGCAAAAAGGAATGAACAAAATCTTCAAGAAATGTGGGACTATGTGAAAA